GAATAGCACTAACCACACATATAGCAGCACTGGCAGCAGCAACAGCAGTAGCAGTAGCAGCACTAGCAGCGGCACTAGCAGCAACAGCAGCAGCAACAGCAGCAGCAGCAGTAGCAACAGCAGCAGCAACAGCAGCAGCTGCAGCACTAGCAGCAGCAGCAGCAGCAGCAGCAGCAGCAACAGCAGCAGCACAAAAACGGCTATAATAATATTTTCTCTCGCACCCAATCAGCCTTCCTCTTGCACAAACCAAAACCAAATAAATATAATAAATATAATTTATTTATTTATTTATTTATTTATTTATTTATTTATTTATTTTTATTTTTTTTTTTTTATATATAGATGGAGCCTCAGAAAGATGCCGTCTTACTGACGAAGATATTTCTTTTTTGCGGGCGGCAATAAAAGCAGCATTTGATAAACAAGAAAACCCAAATGATTTAATTAAAAAACAAATTAATATTATTAATTCTTTTCTAGCGGGAGAAACAACTGGTATGTTGTTTATTTATTTATTTATTTTATTTTATTTTATTTATTTATTTTTTCTCTTTATTTTTATGTATTTATTGATGTATTTATTGTTGTTTTTATTTATTTATTTAAAAAACAAGAAAACCCAAATGATTTAATTAAAAAACAAATTAATATTATTAACTCTTTTCTAGCGGGAGAAACAACAGGTATGTTTTTTATTTATTTATTTTATTTTGTTTGTTTGTTTTTTCTCTTTATTTTTATGTATTTATTGATGTATTTATTGTTGTTTTTATTTATTTATTTAAAAAACAAGAAAACCCAAATGATTTAATTAAAAAACAAATTAATATTATTAACTCTTTTCTAGCGGGAGAAACAACTGGTATGTTGTTTATTTATTTATTTATTTTATTTTATTTTATTTATTTATTTTTTCTCTTTATTTTTATGTATTTATTGATGTATTTGTCGATGTTTTTATTGTTGTTTTTGTTTATTTAAAAAACAAGAAAACCCAAATGATTTAATTAAAAAACAAATTAATATTATTAACTCTTTTCTAGCAGGAGAAACAACTGGTATGTTGTTTATTTATTTATTTATTTTATTTTGTTTTATTTATTTATTTTTTCTCTTTATTTTTATGTATTTATTGTTGTATTTGTTGCTGTATTTATTTAAAGAAGAAAACCCAAATGATTTAATTAAAAAACAAATAAGTATTATTAATTCTTTTCTAGCGGGAGAGACAACCGGTATGTTTTTTATTTATTTATTTTATTTTATTTTATTTTATTTATTTTGTTTTGTTTGTCTCTTTTTTCTCTTTATTTTTATGTATTTATTGATGTATTTATTGTTGTTTTTGTTTATTTAAAAAAGAAGAAAACCCAAATGATTTAATTAAAAAACAAACGGTACTTCATTTTATTTATTTTATTTTATTTTATTTTATTTTATTTGTTTTGTTTATTTTATTTTATTTATTTTACTTTATTTTGTTTTGTTTGTTTGTTTGTTTTTTCTCTTTGTTTTTATGTATTTATTGTTGTTTTTATTTATTTATATAAAAAAGAAGAAAACCAAAATAATTTAATTAAAAAACAAATTTATATTATTAATTCTTTTCTAGCGGGAGAGACAAACGGTATTTTATTTATTTTATTTATTTTATTTATTTTATTTATTTTATTTTATTTATTTTATTTATTTTATTTTATTTATTTTATTTATTTTATTTATTTTTTTCTGTTTATTTTTATGTATTTATTGATGTATCTGTTGCTGTATTTATTTATTTAAAAAAAAAGAAAACCGAAATTAATTAATTAGTACTGTCTTTGTTTATTTTATTTATTTTATTTTATTTTATTTTATTTTATTTTATTTATTTATTTATTTATTTTATTTTATTTTATTTTATTTTGTTTTTATTTATCTTTATATAATAAACCCTAAACCCTAAACCCAAATTAAAATGAATTAATAAAACAACAAACTAACATGTGCTACTACTGCGTGTGCTGCTGCTGCTGCTGTTGCTGCTGCTGCTGCTGTTGCTGCTGCTGCTGCTGCTGCTGCTGCTGCTGCT